ATAACGTCGAAATGTTACGACAACGGTGGTATGTTTGGGATTTAATAACGCAAAAACGATGGTGTCGAATTTTATAAAAAATTCAGAAAATGTACAACAAAAGTAGGGGATCCACCTGTACATGTAACTAATTTTCATGGTATGTTTTAGAGCAACCAACCCCGCAACCTACGTTACATAAATGGCTTTATCTCATAATTTGTTGATAATATCACATTTTTTTTCAGATTATTTGACGGAATATGAGACATTAGTAAATCAAAGGAATGCTATTTCTCACATTATCTATTAATATTTATCTTTAAAATCATACTTTTCACTAACAGTAAAAACTAAATGCATAGATTAAAATATTTTTCAAAGTAAACTTAATTTGCTGCTATACCGAAATTTCCGTCATTTTTTTTTACATTCGTAAACGAAAACCCGTCAAACACTGATATTTATATCATACATCTTCCATAACTCATAATTTCCATGTACATAGCGCCGATTTTTTAAATTCTTGGTTGTAAACATTGCATTTAAGAGTTATTAAGCTGAAAAAAAATAATTCTAAGAAGACGTATCTAAAAATGTAAAACGGCCATTCCAATTACTATCGTCAGACAAAATTAAGATAATCGTAGCTACTTCCTACAAACGGTGAATGTAGAAGGCAAAACCACAGGTACTTGTGGACAGGACCCCCCCCCATTCAGCCCCGATATTTGTTGGGCATTTTTTTTAACAAATTATATTTATTACACTTATTCATCATGTGTACCAAAGGAAAAAAATCGTGAAAATTCCAAAATGATCGTTCCAAACAAAAATACCCCACTATACATGTACATTATAAAAGAAAGGTATGCCACTCCGATTTGTTTACGTTGTACCCCCACTGGTCTTTCTGGAAACATTCAATAACTAATGGAATTTCCAAAAAATTGATGGTTCTATCAATCAATCATCGTGTTTGTTCATTTTGTCCTTGTGCTAGCTTAATAGCATAAAACTGTGAGAAGAAAGAATTCCCCGAAATATATTTAATCTTTAATAGGTCACATCAGTTTTGTTTTTGACAAAAATGTCATGTTTCGTTTATATTTATATATCAAAACAGTGAGTCAATAAAAATAATGTATGCACATTTAATATTGATCGTTTTAAATCTGTTGTTTATCGTTCTTCAAATAAATCCTGGCCTATAAAATTGGGTCTAAATAAAACAAAACGAATGTATATTTCATATTTATTGCTCTAAATCTTGGACATCCTATAAAATAATGTCATCTCTATCTAAGACATCTCATATATTGGTTCTTCTCTCGGGAACAATCTATAAGAAATGATCACCTTTCTTTGATACTTTATATAAAAAGAATTAGCAGCAAGCTCTGTATTACAATAGATCAACGCTTTGGGAAACTCTATAAAAATAAGCCCTCCCTCATAGGACAGTCCATTTAAATAGATGGCCTTTTTGGTGTGCATTGTCAAATATTCAAAGGAAATATGTAAACGAACATTATTTAGTTAAACCAAATACACTTGAATTTTGATGGCAAACAAGATGCTCTGGTTTTGGAAAAAAAACTATGTATGTTTATTTTAAAGATAAGTGATTTAGCCTGTCCTCCATGATTTTTCCTTATCATGTTTACTATTATCATTTTCATTTTATTTTTTCACTTTCAACCTTTGCACAAATAACTCCTGTACCTCTGACCTGAATTTATGTTCTGTAAATAATCTACGTTGTCCTCATGTACCACATATTAAAATTGGTTTTAAGGTAATAAAAGACATTGAACTTGGACACTTCATCTAAACGAGTCATCCCTCTGGAACACTGTCACACCCAATTAAAAAGGGACACCTCATTTAAATGAGTCCTCTCTGGAATCATCGGTATTTCATAAGTACAAAAAGTGCTAATCAAACAAAGAATTTGAGAGACATTACATCAAAGACAATTGCTTTTTAAATTGAAAATCTGGTGTAGAGTTGTTGAGCATTGAATCAAGAACAAAGTTTACAAAATTTAGGATTTAAAGACCACAAGGAATTTGCTTATTCAATTATGCTAATTAAAAAATAATTCAATTAACGAAACAGAAGGACGAAAGAATTAAAAGACAATAAAATAACCGAAAAAATTAATAAAAATAAATTAAAGATTGTAATGTAGAGAGTATCAAAAAAGAAAAAAAAAAAACGAATCATCAATATACCAAATTTCTTTATTATTTTTAAATGGCAAAGGTTAATTCTTTGCGAATCTGATATTTATTGATTTTTTTCAATAAGGCACATATAAGTTGACTATTTTAGCCATAAAATGAGTGCTTGATGCATTTTGCAGCCGCCCATTCTTATTCATCTCTGATGTCTTTTCTTTTTGCAGCTTTTAGGTCGTGTTAAAACTTTAAAAATGACAAATGATCTGATTTTTTTTTTGGTGTTGTTAAAAGACATGCTATTATTAATACTAATAAATATTATTTACGTCATCTTCCGATGGATATTTGATGATGATATATCATGTTAGGAAGTGTATGTTTTATGCAAATTTATCTTTATATCTATAAAAACATCAGATTCGCAGTATTGGTATAGACTCCAAATTATGAGGAAAATACAGGGGTATTTATATTTCTTGGTGAGTAAATATATTTAAGAAATAAGATATCATTTTTAAACATCTATCGGGATATAAATACGGGTTTATCACGAGATCAAATTTCTTAAAGCCCAAAGGGCTTTATGGTAAATTTGATCTATTACCAACCCGTATTTATATCCTGAAAGATGTTTTAAAATGATACCTTTTTACTTATATTTACATATATCTGTCTGATTATAATCTTTAACGCGTGAAATGTTTTTATTTTTCAAATTCAACGGCACGAGTTTGATCTATTGATTGCGCGTCGACCCTTATGAGGTCACTGAGAAATTACGTCGACCATTTAAGACGCGAGGAACCCGTGTTTAAACGGATATAGATACGCGTTGCTTTCAATAGTGTTATATAAAAGAAAACATTTGCAAATGTATATATATATATATATATATATATATATATATATATATATATATATATATATATATATATATATATATATATACATATACATATATATATATATATATATATATATATATATATATATATATATATATATATATATAATTTCCTACTGAAAAAGAAAACAATATATTTTTGCGGCCCCCTGAATTGATTAATAATGTAGCAACTGTCTCAAATAATGTTAAAATAAAACTTGGGTATAAGAAAGTAACAGGGACAAATGTATAGCAACCTGAAATCAAATTAACAAAGCGTTTTGTCTTAAAGAGATTTGTTTAAGTATCTTAATAACCGAGATATTCTAAAAAAAAAAATAACATATATGACCGTGTTCTTTATAATCAAGTTTTACTGTATATAAACAGGTTGTGACTATTGTATCTGCTGGAAGAAATCAAGGACTTAGACGACAGTTAGGTTTGTTTTTATTTCTTATTTATTTATTTATTTATTTATTTTGCGTCTCGTCCCTTCGAGATGTTTTTTTTAGTCAGGTAGGTCAGATATTGTAAGATTAGGGTTAAAAGAGAACCTTTCATCCAAGAGAAATACACATTAACTCAGAAATGATAATTAACTACTTATAGATCATCATTGTTCCTGGGGACCATTTTCCTGGACTTAACAAATCATAATTTTGTTTAATCGTTTAATTGAATTATATCATGTATATATAAATTGTTATATATGGAATTACATTCTTGCGAACGAGTAAAAATTTGATTGCCCACAAACATTAACAAACTACAAATCCAAAAAGATTCCACATAATGTTTCGTGGTTCAGTTACCACAATGTCACAATTATCAATTCAATTTTCTTCAAATCTTGTCCCGTTTACATTTGTAATATAAATTTCTTCACTCTAATTAAGATTCATTGATGTACATTAAGTGGTTTAAATTTTATAAAACCAGTCCGCAAACTTTCTGATACACTGATTTTCAGTCTAACTTTCATAACATCTCTAACTGGATGCAATGAAAAATCATATAAGGCTTAATATTCTAACATGGTAAAAAAAGTGGAAAATTATACATTTCTTTCATTCTTGGTAACCATAGCTTTAAGATAACAATTTCTTTTAAATAAAAGGTATCGAAAAGCATAAAGAAGAAGGCAAAAAATGTTTTACTTGTAAAACATCAAAATGTTGTTTCTATGCTTCATAATATACCAATAATTTTCCAATTTCCTTATGCTCTTTTCTAAGGGGGCTTAAAGATATTTATTTGGCAGTTTCGATTGTCCATGTCTTTTAACGAGATGGCACTATTAATTAAAACTAATCCACACATTTTGTGTAGATATATTGTGTTTCCACGTCTATCATATTTTTTTTTTATTTTTTAGAATAAATTGCTGTAACCTTTTTGCTTGTAAATCAACTATTTTTATTGTTTTTTTTACCTTAGGTGATTGAGTTTGGTAATGAAGCTTCTATTATCAGTAAAACGATGAGTGTTATAATGCATAAAAATATATGCCAAATGAAGCCTTGCTACCCCCATTTTTGGGATATATTTCAAAGAATTCTTTACATCATAAACGGCACCTAGGTATTATAAGAATTCTTTTGCGTAAGTGGTCGATTTTTTATAAAAAATCTTTGTTAATGTTCAATAAAAATTCAAAGTAGCAAAAAAAAATCTTTTTTATTTTTATTTTGTCTGCTACAAAGGCAAACACGACGTATAGCAACCAAATTTTGATTGATTTATGTTTTAAGTGTTAAACATAAACAATAGGGAACGTTACAGCAGAATCGGATCCACAGGTACTAAGAATATTTAAGCCCTTACAGAGATTTGCTCATACATATCATTTTTGAAGTAGCTGAATCTTTTTTAAGTTATACCTTATCCTTCCACCTTTGTTTTCCATATAATAGGATATTGTCTTTATAATGGTTGCTTCTACAACGTCGGAGAACGCTTTCCTGCTTCCGATGGTTGCAATAGATGCTATTGCGCAGAGCCTTGGCAAGTTCATTGTACAATAATGCATTGTCGTAAGTATTACATGTATAAATACTTTTGTTGTTTTACGTATTACTTGTATAAGTACATTGGTTGCCGAAGGTATAACATGTATAAGTATATTGTTGCCTTTAGTGTATTATCTGTATAAGTGCATCGGTTGCCATAATTTTTCACGTATAAGGACAATGGTTTCGGTAGGTATTCATTTAAAGGTGTTTCATTATCGTAAGTATTACATAAATAAGTAAATCAATTGTCGTGAGTATTACATGTATAAGTAAATCAATTGTCGTGAGTATTACATAAATAAGTAAATCAATTGTCGTGAGTATTACATGTATAAGTATTTTCGTTGCCGTAAGTATTACATGTTTAAGGACAATCATGGTTACCGCAAGTACTACATCCCTAACAAAAATACTCTAGTCAACTAAAGTTTACTATAATCTACTGTAGTATCAAAGTTTTTACCATCGTAAATCAAAGGTTTCAGATTGTAATGTTTGATGTTTTTCAATTCAAACATGCACGTTTTCTTTTTTTATATTTATTGCAATTGAACTATTACTTGTATAGTCACATATTAGTTCCAAATGTCACATTATTATTATTGAATTTAAGAGATTTTAAGTTATGAAATCTCTACAAAAAATAGTTCGAGTAAAGTTTCACAGTAAATCAAAGTATCAAATGTAGAAAACCATAGTTAACTTAAGTTAATTTTTGTCAGGGATTCAAAGGTACATTAGATGCAGTGGGTATTATATGTATAAGTATAATGGTTGCCATAGATATTACATGTATAAGTACAATGGTTGCCATAGATATTACATGTATAAGTACAATGGTTGCCGTAAGTATAATATGCACAATGAATGGCTGACTCAAGTAAATGTAAGTTTAATTCAAAGACTGCTAGTCCTCAGTATAAAATCCTCACCAATTGATTGTCACGTGTTTATATAGCACACTTAGTTGTAGTTGGCACTTTTATATAATTAAGAAATGAATTTTATTTTTGAAGATTCATGAGGACATGAACTACGACGCTTCACGCCGGCATATTTCATGAAGCGCGTTAGCCGGCGTGAAGCGTGGTAGTTCATGTACCTCATGAATTTTCAAAAATTAAATTCATTTCTTATATTTACATTATTTTTCTGATGAGTTGCCACAATTCAACTGTCATTTTTAAAGCAAAACAGTTTGCACTATAGTTTTGACGTCAAGTATGGTATTATGACGTAACAATAGAGATATTCATGCTCATTCATGGTAGTTCATGAGAAAATGAACAGTCTTTTAATTTGCAAAGAATCTTAAGGAAAAATATTTGGAAATGTAAATATTTTTTATTAAACTTTTACTAGTTCTATTCCAACATCATCCATTTTTAACAGTAAATCGTATTAAAACTTAATCATTTTTGGTTTGTTATTTAGCTGATCTTTGCGAGCTTCCAATAGAACCAGGTAACGGCATTTTCCCTTCTGAAAGATGGGGATATAACAGCGTCACCGGTCAATGTGTCAGCTTTTCCTATAGAGGCTGCGACGGAAACAACAATAGATTCGTAACTGTAGGCCAATGTCTCCAGCGTTGTGGAGGAAGGACAGGTTAGTTAGACACAAAAATATATATTTAAATTCGTTCATAAGGAACATGCCAGTAAGGAAATTGCAGAATACTTCTAACTAACAACGGCTGTGACAAGCGTGGTGTAAGGAAGGTATTTGATACAGAAATATGCATTTAATTTTGGTTATAAAGATGTCGCTTGTGGGGAAATCTTGGGATAAAGAGCTTTTCTTGAATCCAGTAGAAAACATTGCACTACTTTTCATACTTAAAAAAAGAAGGTTTGTGACATTGAAGCAAAATTTGAAGTCAACTTGACTTTTTCGGAATATAGTTTTACGAAATACAGGTGCCAATATCTCCATTGCTGTGAGAGAAAATTGCAAATTAGACAATAAACTATGTATAGTTCTCTCCAGGTGAAAAGAAATTAAAGTTGACAATTGACTCTTCACGTCTGTTGTGTGGAAGAGATATAATAATTTTTTTGCTTCGCTAATGACTGGTAACAATCTTTTTTTTTTAAATTAAATTGTTTCATTCATCAGTTAATACTATTTTGTTGGGTTTTTTTTTTCAGCATGGACAGAATTAAGAATTGGCTGATTTGAAGAATCTTATTCAAATTGTTTTTTTTTTTTTTTTTTTTTTTTTTTTTTTGTCGAAGAACAATAAAAGAAGATTTTACATTTTATGATGTTTTGACAAGGACGAAGTCTACATATCTAAGGGCATTTATCATATCTTCTACATGTTATATGACTTCACAAGTGTATTTCTTTGACAAGTAGAGCAAAACAATTACATGTTTCTGCATAATTAATAAAAATATGAAATAGCTATTTATATTTCTTTTTGATTTTTAAGGGCTGTTCAATAAAGTATGTTGTAAATAGTAGGATTCCCAAAATCCGTTCAGTGTAAATTACAAGTTGTATATAATTGTATATTGCATATGTATACTGTATACAAGGAAATTTTCGTCCCTTTCGCCCTAGACACAAGTGGGCAAATTAAAGATGGGGAAAAGTATTATTTCTCAAACAAAACTGAATAAGCGAAATTAAAACCAGGCAAAATTGTTTGCGAGTGTGAAAGAGCGAAAATATCCCTGTATACAGTATATTGTCAAACACAATACATACATATGTGTATCGTCCGACTGATGTATTGATTAGAAAAAAAAAGAGAATATTCTGAAAACGATCAACTTTTAAGCCGAGGCCAGCTACTGACAAATAATTTGATGTTACAGGACTCTGCAATTTCATTAACTTAAAAGGAAGCAATTTGCAAATACAATGGCCGTTAAAATGACCTCTGTTCTTTGATCGTAATTTAACTGACATGCTTAATATCGACTGAGTTACCATTGCTTTTTTATTAATTTTGTTTACGGATTACTCCGTATATTTGATCAACAGAAGGAGATTTTGAAGTGTTACAATCGACGGGGGTCTCCCCCTCCTCGGCCCCTGATTCCATCTCTGATGTTTCCACTTTTCTTCTTTGTTTACAGGAATGATGAGATTGATTAAATTTTTTTTCATTTAATACGTTCTATTTCCATTAGTGAACTCTTCAAAATTAGAGGCGCGTTTGGTCGTCTGACTGGGACTGCATGACGTTCCGGATAATATAAATCATGTCAATCTCAATCCAGTTTTAAATGATAAATGTATTTGTCATTCCAATTAAAGAATAGAAGAACTAAAAGACATAGTAAGAGAGCGAGAACCCTAAATTTATCATCCATTAATAAAAAATACGACATTTCCGAGGCATGTGTATTGTATTTAGATGTACCATACTATAAATAGATACATACGATCAACAATAGATATAAATTGATATCGTGGTCATTCCTACCCTTGATGTATATAAAGTACACAACAATAAAATATTTCATTTGCATTTTCTTAGGATTTGTTCATCGACATTCAACATATTGTTTACATGTTTATGTTACGTTTGTCCTAGAAATTTTCCGACTTTTTCACAAAAGAGTGCACTAAGAAGTATAACTCTTCCATAGTGGAAATAGATCGTATTATCCACCTCTCCATGTGGAAGTATTTTAAAGTAAGAAAAGATATTTCTAATTTTCAATTTACACCCTTTTGTAATGTAAATTTAATATAGATATTGAAGAAAAATCCATGTATTCAGCAGTAGGGCCCCTTACAAAGAATTACAAATGTTCCAAATACCTAAGATAAAAACATTTATTCAAAATCAGAAACAAATAGAATGACTACATTGCTTCATCAGAGACATCTGTTTTCAAACTTCTTTATTGAATCGACTGTTTCCCCCCTTTTTTCATCCTCATCTATTGAGAAACAAAAACAAGAATTACAGAAATATAAAGAAGGAATATATACGAGGGGTTATCAAAAAGTTCGTGGACTAGCACCATAAAATTAAAACCGCTATATGTACATCAATGAATTTTTAAACATTTAATAAGCATAATCTTTTCTATCTGTAAAATAAACTATGAATCATAAGTTTTATTTTTAGTGAATTGCAAATGTGTTTGTAAGCAATGGTATGTCCAGGCGGCGCAACCTCGAACATGACGTATTTTCTATCTGAGAAAACTCTTCTAATATGAGCATTTGTCATCCGAAAATCCCATTAATTCACTGATGTAATACGACACAGTTTCTCCGCAAAAGTTGCAATTTTTTCCTCATTCTGTATATTCTATGAAATTTTATTTAATTTTTATATTAAATGTCCATACAATAAAGGGGTTATAAATGAGGTCGAAAGGTGGTAGGGTGTCATATTACAACATTCTATAAAGTTTCAGCCCCTGGAAAAACCTGGCAAAGACTTAGAAAATGTTTAAACAGGCTACAGAGAAATAAAATACATCCAGAGTACTTGTTTTTAAGTACCAAAACATTCAGCAAGGGAAGAGATATACACGGTTAATGTCGATTTGTAGTCAAGGTGTCCAAAGTCAGTCACGTCCAAAAGTGACGTTGATTATTGGTTGACATTGAACTCCGACAAGAAAATTATGCCAGCAAAATCAAGCGAGGATCTTTTCCTATGTATACATTTAATATTTACAATATTAATGCAATGAAATCAGGTGTTCATGACATTGTAGAGTCATATAAACAAGACGGGTTTAGGTCTTTACTTTACTCCAGAGAATCTCATCAAGATAAATGTATTGAGGCAGTAGGAGAGGGCATTAAGGAATAATGACGTTGACGGACATCATGAAACTAAACAGCGACTGCGCCGGGTGATCATATAATGCCCTTTTTATTTAATGATAATTTGGCAAATAATCAACATATCAAGCTGAAATTTTCAACACTTCTTAAACTTTTGTTGTTTTATGTTCCCTATAAATGTTGTAATCAGCGACTACATAGTATTAATTTTATCGCATCAGACCACGAACTTTTTGATAACCCCTCGTATGTACCGTGGATGAAAACAAAATATCCCTATCATATTATAACAAATTCTCTGTGTAAAACATTCACAAACAAAGAGTAATGATGTATATATTAGATATTAAGAGAGATTATATAAATTTTACCAAAAGAATACGTATATTTTACGCAGAAATTACATAGAGATTACGTAGATGTGACGTACCTAGTGACGTTTGATCATCATCAACGTCCCTCTCACAGATGCCCCAGTCATAACTGTAGGAAACCAAGGCGCTATCCATTCGTGTGAGGACCAGGGACCATTGAGAAAGGCGAGGTGACAATAGTTAAACCACCACCCTCCTCCATGGACAACAGCACAGTGTCCTTCAACCCATCCATCGTTATCTCTGTCCAAGGTGGAGAAGTACATCCCAGATAAATCAGAGGAAGAACTCTAAGTGTTTAACATATTGTCACCTAAACAGTTAAAAGGCTTGTTTCACTTATTTTGATGGATTTATTGTATGTTGTTTTACGTCCCATTCGAGAATTTTTCACTCATATAGAGACGTTACCATAAACCGGTGAAGGGCTTCAAATTTGGACCTTTACTCGGCACTCAGGGCCATTGAGCAGCGAGGGATCTTTATCGTACCAACGCCCGCCGTGACACGGGACCTCGGTTTTTAAGGTCTCATCCGAAGGACCCACAACTTTGACTTCAAAGTGCCGAGCGCTTGGCGAAGGAACAGTTGCTACCTATTTTTTATCGACTTAGGTCAGTCGCAGCCGAAATGCGAACTCACGAATCACGGAGCGAGCGTTCTACCGACTGAGCTACCGTGACGGTCTCGCTTATTTTGTTGTCCTTTGCAAATTTATTTCATTCATATGAAACGTTGTCAGATGTCGGTGAGAGTTTCAAATTTTTTTGACCTTAATTAGACACTGATGCTGTCGATAAAAAAGAGGTACATGTAGAAACTGGTCCTTCGCCAAGAGCTCGGTACTTTGGAATGAATGTTGCGGGTCATTCGAATTGGACTATAACATCCAAGGCCCAAAGTCACCTGAAGGCATTAAGCCCCCTAGAGATCCCTCACTGCTCAGTTGCTCTGAATGTCGAGTAAAGGTCAAAGTTTGAAGCCCTTCAGCGACAACTGGTGAATATCTCATATGAATAATTAAATCTTGCTAGAAATGCAAAACTGCAAAAATTAATCAATCTTTAATTCATATGTATTTTGGCTAAGCCTTGGAGTGCCCCAAAACATATTAAAGGCAAATCTGACATAGTGACTTCCTGTCATTTGCGACCATTTAATTTCCGCCCGTGCATTTTTCATCATGTTTCATCACCTGAATTCAGTGATTCCCTGTGTAACGCAATATGAAACTCATTTGTCGTCCCAAAACAGTTTAAGTCCCTGAATTCAGTGACTGCTATGCCTGCTTTTTAAAACAAAAGTCATAAAACGCTTACTTTTCTCCCCTTGCCCCCCCCCCCCCCCTGCACTTTGCAATAACATACTCATAAATGGAATATTTCACAGTTTGTGCCTTGCTTCAAAAAGAAACACATTAAATATGAAACGTTTAAAAAGTAACAATGCATTAACTTTGAAATGTTTTTGACGAGAATTGTTTAAGTTTAAACATAAAAACGGTTTGCGTTTTCTTTGTGATTCGTAGTGTTTATTTTCCTCAATAATCTTGTCATAAATAGATTTATCCTTAACACTTTCTTAGGGTTATGAAAAATTATCAAACGTATTGTTTTTGATTTTTTTTTTTAATAAAAAATATTCTAAAATTTACACAATTAGGGATTAAAGCATTTTGTACAAACGAACTTTCGTATTTTTTTTTTTAATAAAGAATCTCTCTTTTTATCCCCCCCCCTCTCTCTCTCTTGTCACGTACCTTAAGTACCTGTGGCATTTCCAGCCAGAAATAGTCTATATTTTTCTTTTTCACTGAAAACCGAGAATCGATCGTACAACTCATACAGTCTCCTACCATCCTCGTGTGTGATGGAAACATAAAGGTACGAGTTGCTTCCCTTTGTTAACTGTTGGATAACGTCATTTCCTGTGTTAAGATATAATTAATATCTATAGGTTATCATTTTTTGCAGTATAGTTACCAATTTGCTTGTTTTTCTTTTTAAAAAAATAAAGTAGGAATCATTTTTTT